GGGCTGTGGCGGGGGCTGTGGCAGGGGCTGTGGCAGGGGCTGCCATCTACCTGGACCAAAGAAACCATGCTTCTGACTCTGGACCCCCATGGCCAGTGCTCCCAGGGGTGATGCTGTGTCAGGCTGAGGTTACCCACGGGTGGGAGCAAGACGTTGGGTTCTCGGTGAGCTGACCCTAATGAGGCCCAGCCAGCCCTGTGCAGCCCAGGAGGCAGCAGGTTCCCATCCCCCCTCCTGCCTGGGCGTGTGACCATGACCCTCCCTGAGCCACTTCCCAGTCTGTGAGGACAGAAGCCTGTCCTGCTGCCCCATCCCAGCACATGGATGGATATAAGGGTGTGGATGGACAGATATGTGGGTGGATGGACAGATATCATGGTGGATGGACAGATATGTGGGTGGATGGACAGATATGTGGGTGGATGGCCAGACAAGTGGGTGGGGGTGGACAGATATGTGGGTGGAGTCAGCAGTTTAGTCAGCATGGAGTCAGGCTCCCTCCCACCCCCCCTTCCAACCTGCCACTTCTCCTTGGTGGGCAGCCCTGGGATGGCTGGTCCCCATTTCAGCTGACAGCCCTGAGGCCCGGAGAGCTGACATGCCCCTGTGCCGGTCTCGCGCAGGCTGCTGTGCCTCCTCGTCCTTCGGGGCATCAGGCGTCGTGTGGGCAGGGCTGCAGTCCTCCCTGCCCTGGGCCTTGGGACATCCTCACCCGGCCACCACCGGCCAAGGTTCAGGGCCGCTCAGGTGCTCTGGGGGCCCGCCGGTGCCCTGGTTTGCCCTGGCGTCCTAGTTCCAGAAACAAGAACTACAGGTCGGCTGAAGTAATTTACTAATCATTTTACTAAGCATTCGGTGTTTGGTTAAAGGTCGTTTCCCTGGCTTGGGTTGGAGGACTTGGTGGACCTCAGTGAGTTGCTGATGTGGTGGGCGGAGCTTCACTGTCCATCCGCTAGGGGTGCCCGGCCACCCGGGTCCCTCCCGGCCCCTATGTGGTCACTGGGTCGGCCTGGCAGCTGAGATGAGGAGGCTGGTGGGTGGCTGCTTGGCTGCCAGGGAGCAGGTCCCACCCTGGGTCCCTTGCCCGTCCCCCGCCAGCCACGCTGCCATGCCCATGGCCAGGGCTTGTCCAAGCAGGGTCTCTGCCCCCACCCGCCATCCCCCGCTCCTGCACATCTGCCAGCTCCTCCAGCCACTGGGTCCCCCTCTCTGGGGTGGACGGGGCTTATGGGTGCTCTCCCGACACCTGGGATGTGGGGAACCGGCCCATCTCAGGTTACCTGGTGGTTCTTCGGGTCCTGGCTGGCTTCTTGGTGACACCACACGATTCAAGGCAGCAGATTCCCCAAACCAGCCTGGGCTACGTGTGCAGGCCCCCAACCGACCTGCAGGCCGGTGGCACCCAGCCCACCCACACGCTCCACCTGTGATGGAGAGTGGGTGGGCTTGTCTGCCTCCTTCCGACCCACAGCCCCTCCGGCCTGCGTCTGGGCTGACGGCTGGCACGGCGCATTCAAATGCAGACCCTTGGCTTTGAGCTGGTGTGTCCATTGAGCTTCAGGAGCCCGTTTGGGTCTCAGGGTTGGACCTGGGGCCTCTCTCTTCTCCCTCAGTGAGCACCGGGCAGCAGGGGGTGCTAGCCACTCGCCACTGGCTGGACTGTTCCCACACCAGGACTCCTGCCTCACACTCACAGGGCGCAGGTTCGGCCCTGCGGGAGGGCGCCGTCAGCTGGGGGCCGAGGCCCGGGAGGCTGTGTGCCTGATACAATATTGATGGAAACGCAATATCCAGAGGTCACCTGCGCTGGCCTCTTCCCATGTCAGGCTCGGAGGAGGTGGTGAAAGCCACAACCACGGGTCCCAAGAGAGGCAGCCCGGGGACCGAGGCTGGACAGGTGGAGACAAGACTTGCCCTATGGGAGGCGCCCCTTCGTGGGCCGGTCTGCAGGACGGTGGGGTCCTGCATGCTGCTGGGGAAGTGCAGGCCCTGCCTCGACCTCTCTACCTTGACTTCAGCCAAGTCCTTCTGCTCCCTGGGCAGCCCCTCTGCACACTGAGGGGTGGGGCAGGGGCTAGAGGGGCCCCCTGCACCCTGACTCCCTCTTCTGAGGCCGGGTGTGAGTGAGGTCCTGGTGGCAGCAGTTAGGAGCAGCAGCCCAACGTGGCAAGCCAGGTCCCCACCTCCATGGCATCCACTGTCCTAATTGCCCCTGCCCCATCCTCATCACCGCCAAGATTGGAGCGACTCTGCCCAGCAGGTGGTGAGGATCTCTGAGCCTCGATTTTCTCATCTGTAAAATGGGATTGAGGAGCCTAGTTGCAGGGTAAAAGAGACACCCATTGACCACCCAGCAGGCACCATCCCTCCCCCCGGCCCAGGTCCAGAAGGGTCCTAAAACCCCTTCATTTTACAGATGGGGAAACTGAGGCCCAGAGAGGGCAAGGCCTCCCCCGGAAGCCTCCTCCCCAAGGGAGGGGCAGGCCTGGCTGAATCTCAGCCGTGGTGACCGGTGTCCAGCCCAGCTGCGGGTCATGATTTTGCCGGCCGGGTGGCATTACAGGCCTGTAACCCGGCTCGACAGCTGTCCTCAATGTATAATGCATGGTCGGCAGAGCACTGCTCAAATCTCACCAAAAACACAGCAGAGGACACTGCAGGCCATGGGAAAGGTGCCAGCCTTGGGGCAATTGCCCAACCTGGGGGTAACATGCCCACTGTCAGGAGCCCACAGGTAGGGACCGTCTGGCACTTCTTCTGGTCCTTGTAGATTTGGTTCCTGTCCAGGCCTAAGTGAGGAATGCAGGGGTGTGGGACGCCCATTGCCGGGGAAACACGGCAGCAGACCCCTGTCCTAGCTGAAACTGAGAGGTCACTGTGACACTGCAGTGACGAGGTCTGTGCCAGGCTCTCTCCTTAACTCCCAACACCTGCAGAGTTCTCCCAGGAAACGGAGGCCCAGGGCACCGCCCCAGAGCTGCTCCTTGGAGCAGTGAGCAGGATTCAGCCCCCGGGACAGGGTGGCAGAGGCCCCCCAGCTGCAGCTGCTGCATGGAGGCCCAAGTCCATTCCCCTGGGTCCCCGAGCAAGTTCCAGCTCCCTACCTCTTCCACTCTCCCCCATGAAGGGCAGCTGCCATCCCAGCTGCGCCGCACACTGCCAGGGGAGGGGAGGTCTTGCCCCTCCCCCAGAGCAGATTCCATTGGGCTCCCAGGATGGCCGGGAGCAGGGCAGGCAGGCAAGCCCACAGCCCTGTCCTGGCTGAGTGGGGCCAGGCATTGGAGTGGCCCTTTGGTGAGGGCCCCTGCTCCGCCCTCCTCTGTCCATCAGCCTGTCACCACCAGCCTCTATAGCAGCGGTTCTCAACCTGTGGGTCGAAACCCCTTTGGGGGTCGAACGACCCTTTCACAGGGGTCGCCTAAGACCATCGGAAAACACATATATAATTACATATTGTTTTTGTGATTAATCACTATGCTTTAATTATGTTCAATTTGTAACAATGAAAATACATCCTGCATATCAGATATTTACATTACGATTCATAACAGTAGCAAAATTACAGTTATGAAGTAGCAACGAAAATAATTTTATGGTTGGGGTCACCACAACATGAGGAACTGTATTAAAGGGTCGAGGCATTAGGAAGGTTGAGAACCACTGCTCTATAGCTTTGCCTCGGGGCCCGGCATCTGACCGACCCTGTTTGCAGCTCCTAAGCCGGGCTCTGTCCGCCTCATGGACGCTGGAAGAAGACAAGAGACTCCTGGGTCTGTGGCACAGGGTGAAGGGCAAGCGTCATGTCTTGTTGGGTCCTGTTGCCCCCAAGTCCCAGGGTTGTGTGATATGGGCCCAGGTGGCTGCTCTGTGCCCAGGAAGTTTGCATCACAGCCGAGGACCCCAGAGCCCGGGCAGCCCCGTTTTATAGCAAGCGGTAAGCAGCCTGCACCTCTGTCTGGGTCCCCGCTGTGAACACGGCCCTGAGAAACGCCAGGAAAAGAGCAGCCAGGATGTGGCCTCCTTAGTAGGTGCGAGAGGCCCACTGCCTGCCTCTTCCTCCACTGCGGGTGCCCCTGGGCCCAATCACAGAGCAGTGACTCGAGGGGCTCCAGTCCTGGCAGGAGCAAGGACTGGGGATCCAGCTCCGCCTTGTCCCAGCTGCTGGGCCCTGAGAAAGCCCCTTGCCCTCTGTGCCCGGGGCTGTCCTGGGGGTGCAGGTACTGCACTGAGGGATTCCGCCAGGTGGTCTCTCCCTCTCATGTGACCGGGATCTCAGGTGCCCCACCTCCCCGGAGGATCCACTTCCCTGGGTCCTGCACTGTGGAGGGTTAAGGTGCAGGGTAAGGGATCCCACATGCGGCCCCAGCCCGCCTGGCCACCTGACACCTCTGCCTTCAAATATTCATGCGACGCCTCCCATTCCTGGGGGTAGCAGCTGTGACAGCCCCGACAGCCCAGGACACCACAGCTCCCTGCTCGCAGCCCAGCCCCTACTCCCACAGGTCCTCCCGGCCGGGCAGACCACCCCCTGTGCCTGCTGCAGCTCCCCAACTGCTGTGCTCTGGGGCTCCCGGATTCCTGCAAGGAGCGAGGTGTGAGGTGGGTGGTGGCCGGGCAGACGGGGTTCAGGCTGTGTTCCTGTCCAATGGCCATGGTGGACGGAGGGTCCTGGACAGGCGTGTGACTCGGAGCCGAGGCAGTGGGTGAAGACCTATGGTGAGGGCTCCCCGTGCAAGGCTCTGTGTGAAGTGAAAATGCAGGCCGCTCGCCTTTTAAACAGGAAGAATTTCAAGGCAGAGCTGGCCGCGCATCACACTGAGCTGCAGTGTGGGCCCCGGCCCGACCACGCATCCTGCATGGGCTCATTTCACCAGGTCCTTGTCCTCTGACTCTCTCCACACCACCCAGGGGCCCACTGGAGGGAGGGGTGTGGAGCTGCGGTCTGCTGGCCAGGGCAGGGTGCTTGGAGAGAAGGCAGCATGCAGCCCTACCAGCTGAGACGGAATGGGGCAGCCTCATGCCAGACGGCACCGAGGCACACGGGCCCTGCAGGACCCCAGGCGTCCACCAGCTGAGAGACGGGGCCAGACAGCCTTCAACTTTCAGCTTTAAACCAAAAGGCTCTGGGGTCCTGGGGGACAGCTCAGGTGTCCTCCTGGAGAATTTCTGTGCCACCTAAGTCGGGACAGGCAGAGGCGAGAGGTGAGCACAGTCCTGCTGCTGGCAACAGGGTAGCCTGCATGCCTGGGGCCCCTGCTCAGCCAGCCCTGTGAGTCCACCGGCCAGGGGTCTTGGCTCCCGACGGTCAATGCCAAAGCTGAGGCTGAGCAAGGCTGAGCTGGGGGGGACGTAGCTGGGGGGAACCTCCACGCCAAGGTTCTTTCCAGCTGCTCACCCGTCAGTGCTTGGGGGCAGAGCGGTGGCCAAGGACAGGATTGTGCCCTGCCCCAGACACGGGGCAGGTTGTGGGGGTGACGTGGCGGGTGACCCAGTAGCCCCCAGCATGGATTCCTAGACCCCAGGCTCCCAGGGCCAATCGTGGTGTCTGTTTCCAGGCAGCCCAGGGAGGGGAGCCTGGACACTGCTGGTAGGTCTTGGGCACAGTACCCCGCCCTGAGGTGTGGTCAAGCGCATGGCCCCTGCTGTGGCTAAGAAGAGGTCCTTGTGGTTTCCCCCTAAGCCCAGGGGCCAGGCACCTGCTTTCCTCCGAGGGGACCATTCCAGGTGGTTCGTCTCAGCACAGAAGTCAGGGGCAGTCTGGGGGGGAGGGGTGGTGGTGGTGGTGGTGTGTGCACATCTCTTGTGAGCACAAGCTGGACACCAGGTCCTAACCCAGCACTGCAGCTGCCGAGTTAAGCTGCCTCTAGAGCAGTGGTTCTCAACCTTCCTAATGCCGCGATCGTTTAATACAGTTCCTCCTGTTGGGGTGACCCCCAATTTCATTGTTACAAATTGAACATAATTAAAGCATAGTGATTAATCACAAAAACAATATGTAATTATATATGTGTTTTCTGATGGTCTTAGGTGACCCCTTTGAAAGGGTCGTTCGACCGCCAAAGGGGTCGTGACCCACAGATTGAGAACCGCTGCTCTAGAGGGAGCCCATGAGCTGGGCCTTGAGATAGGGATTCCCTGGTGGTGGTGGTGGCATTGGGGGGCACAGTGAGTGGTGGCACTCAGACAAGTGGATGGGTGTTTGGGAGCCCTGGTCACCCGGTGTGGAGGGAGTGGAGAGACATGGGGGGCAGAACCTGGAGGGACACTTGACCCCCTCCAGGCCTTTCTAAGATGCACGAGATGGGCCAGACTAGCCTGGACACCCCGCACCTTCACCTGGGCCTCCCGCTGACCAGGTCTGTCCACCTCCAGGTGCCGCTCCTGATGACACCCCCACCCCCACCATTCCCCCCTCCTCCACTGTCGGCTGCGAGGCGCTCCCCAGAGGATGGAAGAGGGGGCTCAGGTCTCAGGAGCCCCACCTGTGAGTACACTTCTCCAGGGAGGACGGGAGTGCCGTGGGTGCCAGGAGTGGGCACTGCTGGCCTCACCCCCGAGGTCCTTTGAGGGGGTGGGGGGGGGTAGCTGACTCCAGGCAACTGTGCTCAGGATACTCAGGACCTGGTTGGGGTCACCCCCTCCCACTGCCCAACCCCCAGCTTTTTCCAGATTTCCTTTGTTGTCTTTGTTGTTTTAAAGTGAGACCAATTAAACAGCCTCCTGCCCAGTCAGGGTGCCTCTGTGAGCTCTGGGCCCCTGGGGCCTGACTACCCTGCCTGTGTGGTGATGGGCAGCCCCCTCGCTCTCTGGGCCTCCGTAGTCCAGAGGCGAATCCCCTACAGACATGCTGCTGCTGTCTGGACACCAGCAGGGACAGGGACACAGTCCTTAAGCTGCTTCACCACCCAGACCTGCATTTATCAAATGGAATGGAGCAGCCGAGAAATGTTCGCAGGCCCCTACGTAGTGAGGCAGCAGCAGTTCATGGGGTACATTGTCGCCATGCAGGACTGTGTGGCCCGGGTGTGATGCAGAATGTTTCTCATCAGGGTGGGGCCCTGGTGTGTGCCTCTGTGTGGGTTCAGGGGCATTGAGGGTGGGACAGGACAGGCTTTGTGGCTCAATGGGCGGCATCAGGTCCCCAGACCACTGGCTGTAGCAGGACTGGGGAGGGTGAGAACTGGCCGTGGAATGGGACCATCACAATAAAATGCAGGCTCTCCAACCAGCCAGCCTCTGGAGGCCTGTGCACGCCCCTGGGTGCTTCTGGGGAAGGGGGGCTAGTTGGGTCTTTGGCTCCAAATCCAATATCCTTCAGGGAGGCCGGCGCTACCCCAGGTCCCAGGTCTCTGCTCCCCGGCGCCCTGCCCTGGAAGCCTCTCTGACTCCAGTTCCCCCTTCCACCCAGCAGCAGTGTCTCTCAGCCCCGCCTGGCCTGGCCAGCCTGACCAGCCTCTTCCGAGGGAGCAGATGACCCACGCAGCCCCCCTGGGGATCAGCACCAGCGCCATGGTTGTCACTACGGTGCGTCCTCACCGTCCACATCTCTGTCTCCCAAGGCCCCCAGCCAACCCTCGGAGCCCAGCCAGTGTCCTCTGATGTGAGCCCAGGCCAGGCCACTTCCGGGGCAGCCAGGGCCTTCCTCACAGGAGGCGTCAGGTCGAGCCTGGGCGCAGGCTGGCTCTGGAGGCCACCGTGGGTTCTGAGGAGATGGGAACTTCAGGGCCACAAGCAGCTTATCTTCCCAGCACAGAAGGCATGGGACCCTTCTCTGACCCCAGGGAGTCCCAAGCTCCCTCCTCCTGACCTCTGAACTCAGGATGCTTCACGCCCCTCCAAAAGTGCTGCTGTCATGATACAGAGAAGCAAACATCCACGGAGAGGGCGGGCCTGGTGCCGCTGCCCTCCTCCTCGGAGCTCTCAGCCAGCCAGGACCCATGGGGAGGGGGAGGCCCACTTCCTTTCTTGTCCACTTTCTGGGCAGGAGGCCCTTACAAATCCTGCCCACCCTTCCTTGAATGGGTCCTGGAACTCTCAGCGGCTGAGATGTCCTGTGCCAGTTTGGGAAATGCTGCACAGTGCTGCTTCCTCTTGGAGAGTTATCGGGGGTGGGGGTGGGGGGGACCCCTTAAAGGCCCTGGCAAGTCCTGCAGTCCAGAATTGGCCACCAGACTCTGTCTATGCCACTGTTCTGCAAACTTGTTTGCCCATCTGCATGGCTTACCCTGAGCAACTTCTTCCCGGCCAGACACAGCAGAGCAGGAGGAACCTCTCCTTGCCTCTCACCCAGCGCTTCCCCACCCCCCACCCCCTACCACAGCGGGCACTGCGGGTTCCTGCTCTCAGAAAGCTCACACTTCCTAGA